AAAAAAAAAAAAAAAAACAACCTTTCTTAGGCCGTTAAAGGGAATGAAAGGGGCAAACAGGAGTGACAACTGCCATTACTGTTTTAGGGGTTTCTCGCTGCCAGACACGGTGCTAAGCACTCCCAGGGTCTCACTCACTCACTACGCGGGACTCTGTAGTGATACGGCTCTGCCCAGTTTACGGGTGAGGAAACTGAGGCACGAGGTCACGTGACCAAGTGAGAGAGGCCGATCCTCCAGACCTGGCTCTATGCCCAAGCTCTGACCCCCACACGTGGTGGGAGCTGGCACTTCGCAAGCGCCAGTAAGTGTTGGTTTCGTTCCTCGTCCCTCGGGGATGAACGTGTTTATCTCCGGGAGGCTCCTCGGTGCCAGGAGGCTCCGGGGATGATGCGTGTTTCCTCGGTCCCACCGACCACAGGGATTCAACCCCTGAGTTCTGTTCCATTGTCTCTGACTGATCCAGCCCCCGGCCTGGTCCAGGCTGTCGTGACACTGCCCGGGGGGCTCCCATTGGAACACCAAGCCACTGGGTCAACCATTCACTCTGCAACCGAGCTTTCTCTTTCTCTTAATCCGCCCTCCCCGCGCGGTCCAGACTTTCCAGAGAGTTCTTTTCATGAGGGGCGGTGGAGCCCAGCAATGAAGAGCTTGGACTCTGGAGTCGGTCGCACCAGGCTTCTCCGCTGACCGGCTGCGTGACCGCTGGGCAAGGCCTCTCCGCTCTGTGAGCGTCGGTGTCCTCATATATCAGCCAGTCCTAATGGAGGTACCCTGCTCTCAAGAGCTCTTACGGGGCTTTTCTGAAGCAAGACGGAGAAAGCACAGCGCCCTGGAAATGGTCCCCAGACGACGGTAGCAGGTGCAGCTGTTCATGCCAAAACCCATCGGGGCCAAGATGATCCTATCCCAAACCCAGCAGGAGCTAAGAATAACCCCAATAGCCATGCCCGTCTCTGTCCGGGGAGGCTCTGAGGGCCAGGGCACCGTGCTGCCAAAACCCTCAGCCCAGGTCAGGAACTGCTGTCCTTGTGTTTGGAACCACACTGTTCCGTTCCTGACAGTGGCTGTGGCTCGCCTCTTGGCCCCGGGCCACGCAACTTGGCCTGGCAACAGGGCCCTGTGTGATTCCTCCCTCCCTTCCACTGTTAGTTATCTGACGTCATCTCCCAGGACGGCCTACCAGCTCCTGCCCGCCCAGACCTTTTCTTCTTTGCACATACCACGGTGTGTCCTCATCGGCTGCCCTCCTTCCAGTTGTGTCCGCTAAAGCCCATCCTGCCCACAGCAGCCAGGGGTAGATCATGCCGCCCTCCTCCTCTTGCTCCACCAGAGGTTTCCCTACTGACCGAGGTCGGTTCACTAGCTTCACCAGTGTGCCCCTTGCCCCATCTGCTACTTCAGCACCCCGTCCCCCTCCTCCCCGTACAGCTGTCCAGCCACACTGGCTCCCTTTCTGTCCCTCAGCACCGCTTCCGCTTTTGTTCTTGTTCCTGCCTCAGGACCTTTGCACCAGCTACTTCCTCCACTCAGGGCACTCTTCTTCTTAGATATGTACATGGCTGCATCTTTCAGGTCTTAGCTTAAATGCTTCTCCTTAGTGAGGCCTCCGACTCCTGCGAGAACCAGGGCCTGGCCTTGCCCTGCCACCTCCGTGCCTTGCCCAGAGGCCCCTGGAGCCTCCTGCGGGAAGATAAGACGTCTCACCTCCTCTGTCGATGATGCTCTAACAATGCCTCCACATCACACTCCATGCGCCTCAGCTGTCCCACCCAGGGAAACGGGCTGTCCCCCACCGAGCCCACTGCAGGAATACATTGTTCTTGGGGTCTTGGAAAATGGGAGTTTTGTGGATGGTGGCTGCCGGCAGTGGGGTGGGGCTAGAACTAGAGGTGCCAGTGTGAGAAAGCTCAGGGCCTCGATTTCCCCACGTGTATAATGGGATAATAGCCGTGCACACCTCACAGATGAGGATTACGAGGGAAAATGAGAGTAGCACTTGACCCGGAGATGTGCGAATCATTGGTGACCTCCATTGTCCCCGCCTACCGTTGCCATTAGCATCATTCTAACATCTGGGCTGAGCTCCGGATATCCTGAGGAAGATATTCTCTGCCCAGTTGGGAAGGAGATAAAAATGATCCCGGACAGGCTCTTGGCCAGTTGTCCTGGGGTGGCCTCCACCTTGGCTCAGCTGTTTTCCTTTTACAGATCAATGGGGCCCCTTCACCTACTCAGTGGCCTCGGGGATCAGAGATCGTATGCATGTCATTTCACGAGGACTCCAGCTTGCTTTTTTGTTCTGTCTTGTGAGCACGCACCTTAATATTATTAACTGTTTTGGAGGGACCGTGGCTTGGCAGTGAGAAAATCTGCGAGTCTGGACAATATCGAGTGGCGTCTTCACTCCTCGCAGCTGTGTGACCTCAGGCAAGGCACTGTCCCTCTCTGAGCCCTGAGTGTTTTCCTCGGGCGATCTCTAAGGGTGTTTTCTGCTCAGAGATTCTAGGGTTCGGAAATCAAGGGGAAACTGACACGTGCAGAATGGACTTAGGGTTTGTGCCCGGATGTGGTTTTCTCCAACAGGGAAAGTCTGTCTTCTGGGGCCATGGGAGATAGTTGTGCCTATTTTGATGGCCCCACTTTGCTAAGATAAGAGGCCTACTGCGTGCCGGTGGGTGAACATCAGATGAGACAGAAAAGGGTGAGAAAGAGAAACTTTGTTTAGGTCAGTGGCTCTTAACCTTCAAGAACCCAGGAAAAATGCTTACATGGCAAATATGTTGCATACCATTTAGAGGGGGTTTACAATTCTGAAACCTGGTTAAGAAACATCTACTTGGCAAGTTCCCACTGACTTTTGAGCACCTCCTCCAGAAGGCCTTCCCCGGTTTCATCCTGTGTTCCCAGTGTCTCCATGGCTTTCTTCCTGTGCTCCTCAGGGAGGCTGTCCCTGCCTGTCTTCCCCACAGCGGGTGGGAAGGGCCCAGGCTGACTGCTCTCTGCCTGCACTAAGTGGATGTCAGCAAATATTTGTTGAGCAGAGCTGGGGACCAGCTACTGGCACTGAAGCGGGCTAGCCTGATTTCATGGGACAGTGCCTGTTCAATTTTGAGTATCTCAGAGCCTGGCCATCTCAGATGCAAACACGTTCTCCTCCCCTCATTGTGGGTTGATGAATAGCTGTGAAGACAGACGGGAGGAGAAGATCGTCTGTAAATTATTCCGCCACTTGGGAGGGGCTGGGCTGGGCTGGAGGGGAAGGACATTCAAGGAGGCGGCATCATGAGGCTTTTCCCTTCCCTTCCCTTCCCTTCCCTTCCCTTCCCTTCCCTCCCCTCCCCTCCCCTCCCCTCCCTTCTCCTCTGTTCCCTTCCCTTCCCCTCCCCTCCCCTTCCCTTCTCATTCCCCTGCCTGGTGCAGCTGGAGCAGAGTGAAGCCAAGTGTGAGGATGCTTTGAAGACCCAGAAGGCGCTGACTGCGGACCTGGAGAGTATGCACAGCGAGCTGGAGAACATGACCCGGAATAAGAGCCTGGTACCTGCCCCTTCCTAGAGTCGCGGGGACCTGGGGCCAGCATAGGGCTCTGGGAACTAGCATGGGACCACTGTGTACTCAGCACTACCAGAGGGGCCGAGGGCACTTACTGCAGACTTGCCGGGTCAACACTCTGAGAGAGCAGGCATCCTATTATGAGCTGAGCACTATAAAGCTATAAGGGCATATGTGAGGATCAACTATGTGTTCATCTCCCCAAAGGTAGTCAAGGAAACTTGTTGTAGACCGACTGTGTGCTCAGCACTGTGGGGATGCATTCATTGTGAGCCTACTGTTTGCTCAGTACCCTGGCTGGGAACAAAACTGTCTGTGGTGTGCCCATAGTGTGCTCACCACGTGAGTGGTCCCAGGCACCTGTTGTAGCCCTACTGTGTGCTCACCATCATAACAGGGGACTTGGGCATTACATTTGGGTTACTGCATATTCATTCTTACACGTGGAGACAAGGGCATCCCTCATGGGCCCTCTTAGGCTCACTCCTCTAAGGTACCCAGCCATCTATTAGGAACCTACTATGTGCTCACCACTGAATGGGGGAAATGAACACATATTATGAATCTAATATATGGGTGAAAATTGGGTGTGCATTTCTAAGTGCCCTGTCTGGGTGTACAAGGTTGACTTAAATTTTTACTCCGCATCTAAAATTCCGAAGTTTAGGTATAGCCACAGATTCATAGGCAAAAGCTTGTCTCCAGATCCCTGTTGGACCCTTTAAGGGGAACTTACCACAAACATTCACACACACACACACACACACACACACACACACACACACGAATGTACACACTCACCTACAAAATCGCCGGACACGCACACAAAATAAATGCCCTCATAGGTAAAATATGCATCTAATTTTATCCATCCGCCCAATTATCTA